TAAGAAAGAAGAAAGAAAGAAAAAAACAAAGAAAGTAAGTAAAAAAAGATTGAAATAAAATTAAAGTGGCTAGTTGGGCTGTGTAGATCTGAGCCGTATCTGAGCTGGTGACATACTTAATAGGCAATTTATTTCTTGCTTTAATTTTATAAATAATCTTTTAAAAATCTCTAATGACTTGTATACCCTGTTTTTCAAAGAACGCATTTTCATTTCAACTTATTGTTTTCAAATGTCCATTTTAAATAATTTATTCTATACAGTATTAGCTTTTTTAGCACAATGTATCAATTGAAAAAAGGGCAAATTGAATTTAGCCTGACTTAAGTCGATGAAAATCAAAGAAAGTGGCAGCCTTAACTCGTTGACTGGAGTGTCAGAGTGATGAGTGTGATGGTGGTAGTGTTGAGTAAATATGATATCAGTCATCAGTACTGATCATAAATATACAATAAATTAAACTAAAAATTCAGACAGGGAGATACATAAACACACTAATGCATAGGCATATACACATATATATATATATATAAAAACACACACTCAATATAGATACACGTTATTTTTCAAAAAAAAAAAAATCTGGCTAGAAATTTTAAAAAATTATATATTTTAGTTAGAGTAAAGGAATCATTTTAGCATTTAAGTTATACCAATAGTATATTTTGTTAAAGATTGTAATGAGCCTGACAAACATTGATAGCCTAGAGTCGCCACTTATACATGTAAAAGGTTTGTCACTTAGCTGATTGATGTTACCTTCAGCATCGCAACTACAGAATTTTGTAGATGGACTCTTGGGGAATCACTCTGTTCACTCGTCAGAGGGTATCAGCAATTGACTGCTTAAAAGGTTTGTTTATTTACTATAAACAACCAAATCCTTACATGTAGAATCATCAAATTTGGTATGTATACTTATTGAACCTAAGAGGTTTTAAAAAGGAAATTTTTCTTCTTCATAGAGAAAGGTGATGTATATCTCTTTTTTGTTATAACTTTCACAGTAACAATTACAGTGTAAGACTATAGTTTCTGCTTTATTATTAATTATTATTAATGTCCAGACAAGAAAAATATTTGTGTTTGAAAAAGAAAAAAAGAGCAATTTCACTAGATAAATTTACCCAAAAATATATTTTATACTTTTCAAAGTATTTTTTTCATCAGGATCTTACTAGGAGCAAGTGAAATTTATTTTGCTTTCCTTTTCTGCTACTAATATAAACAAATAAATCATCCATGATTGGTGCCATGAAAATGAATAATGGCAATTATAAATTTTTAATTGATAACAATGATGGTAAAATAGAAATTATGTGGAACTATTTTTCAAGATTAAGAAATCATTTTACTGTCACTATAATCAGCTGCCATCCAAGTCTTGGTGTAGACTCATACTTCAACTAGTACTCATATATGTGAATAATGTCAATAGCAAATATTTAACTGACAACAAAGATTGTAAAATAGACATTTCTTACTTATATATTCTGTTTGTTTCCTCTTTGGTATAAAATGTTATGTGGGATGACTTTTCAAGATAAAGAAATCATTTTACTGTCATCATAATTAGCTGCCATCCAAGTCTTGATTTTTTACCTTGTGTAGACTGGTACTTCAGCTAGGTTTTAGTATATGAACAGTATATTCACTAAATCTTTAAGATGCTTAAATTATTTTTGCTACACAGTCTAGAGTTTAGTTGGGAAAACCCAAGTCATCAACCAACTCATACAGGAGTAAATCTTAGATGTTGATATAAAGATATAATTTTAGGCAATTGCCAATTGCTGTTTTAATTTGTCCTTGATTACAAGAAAAAAAAAATCTTCTGTGGCACATGCCGGGAAGTTTAAAAAATATTAAACCGAAGCTCCAGGGCACTTTTCCCCAAGACAAGGGGGCTTGGACAATTTTTAAACCCACTCTAAACCTTGATCTTATGTCACATTTAGTAGCAACGTGGGCATGCTGAAAAATAGTCATAAAATGTAATGTGGTAACCAAATTATGAAATTTGTCAAATTATTATTAACAGTTTTAAAGGAATATTTATCTTATATATTAATAAATTGAGATTTAGAAGTTAAAATTATCAAAGAAATCATTTCTGGAATGTTTCCGTTTCATAGTTTTGTTTTTAAAAATAATTCCTCTTGAAATCAGCAGTTTGTAGTTTGTGAAATTATAACAATTTCTTGTTTACTTCAGAGTAAAATTAAAAGACAATAGCTATTTTGAAAAATAGAGACATATAGAATAAGAACTATGTGTTAGCTTTTCATCTTAATTTCAGTTGCTTTTTAGTGCAACTTTCAGACTGTTATTCTAGAACTGTTATTAAGCAATGTGAAATGGAAGTAAGGAATAAGCCTTCTTTCCAGCTGAGAGCCATTCAAATCTGGCTATACAGCCATTCCTTATCTTTTTTGACGACTTAATATGTAGTGCCATTTATTTATATACATTTTCACTTTCTTAAATGAAGCTTTCTCGATTATTTTTAGTTTCCAGTTAGTATCTTAATATCAGTTGTCTTTTTATAAAAAAAAATTGAAATCAAGATGAAAGAAATATTAACTGGAAACTAATAATAACTGTCAAGGTTTCCTGTAAGAAACTGAACAAAAAAAAGTATAAAATATTCACCAAGTGTCATCGTATGTGGTCTTTCTTGTCTGATGTACCCAGAATAAAACATTACACCCAGAACAAATATACTCCAGAACAAAATAGATGCTTTGAGGAAAGCTGAAGGGCATATAACCAAAATGTGAAAATAATAATAATGATGATGATGATGATGATAATGGAATTAGTCTGAAGAAAACCACATACAAAAACAGCTCATCTAAAAAAATGTTCAGAAAATAAATAATCATTGTGTTTGATTATGATAATATTACAGTGAAATATCAATAAGATACAAATGAAGAGTCTGAATTGGCAGGAAGAATATTGTTATAAAAATAAAAAGAAAGCATAGCAGACATCTATAAGCCAAAAGTTTTCCTGCTGTTTTCTTGGTTTTGAGAAGTCTGGGTTAAACTATTGCAAAAAGATATTTTGCATTTATTTTATGGTTAACCTAAGGGAGTGGGGAAAAATGAAAAAGAAAAAAAAAAAAAAATGAAAAAATTTCTGAATTCCCTTTCTTGATGGTTTTAATAAAATGGTTTATTTGGTTAATAGTTCCTTGAATGATTTTATAGAAATCACTTTTCTTTTATGTTCACAGTCATGAAAAAAAAAACAATCATATAAACTTAAAAAAATTTCTGGCAATGTTTAACCTTTGTGCCTGCAAAAAAAATGGTGTGTCAAAAGGACAGTTATTCCCTTGACACCACTAATATTGTATACACTTTTGACTTCCTTGGCAATATTTATTTAGAAGATTATAAAAATATGTGGACCAAGTACAATGTGATATTTATTATTTACCTTTTTTAAAGAAAGAAATCTGTAAAGGAATCATCAAAAATTTATAAAAAAATTAAAAATTTATCAAAATATGTAAACCAACTACAATACAATATTTATTTACACTATTTTTGGACTGTTGTCTTCACCTTTACTATCACCTTTACAACATTTTGGCCATTGTACATTCACTTCAGTCTTGTTCAGATATTTGTTGGAATTTTGAAACAAACTCTTTATTTAATCCTTGGGTTTAGTATGTTCTAATTCCATGTACCATGTTTTTGGATAACTGAGTTTTTTTAGTTAATTTACCTTGATAACTCTCCAAGTTTTTTTCTCTCCAGTGAGGTCAGGGATTGAACTCACAGCTCTTTGGGTCAAGTTACTTTTTGGATCACTCAACCAGTACTTTTATCCACTGGACCATGTGAAGAAGGCCAGAGTGTACAATGTCCAAAATGTTTTGAATGTGACAGTAAATATGAGGACAACAGTTTGAATAGTGTAAATAGTTACAATACCCCATCTCAGAAATATAGACACAATAATTATTAATTTACTATTTTATAAATAACCATGAAAACAAGATTCTATTCATAATTTTATAAAAATATCAATGAACTATAGAACAAGAAAATTTGAATAAACATTCTTTTACGGACATAAAATTATTCTTATAAATAGGCAAGCTAATAAACAGTGTTTAATATCTTTATTGTCAATTCTCAAGAATAGACAAAATGTATAAATTCACTTTCATATGTTTTGGCTTTATCAAAATTCTAATAATTACTTTTTAAAGCAATAAACATTGCTGAGGGAATCGAAAGTATATACAACAATAACAGTATTAAGGGAATAACTGTCCTTTTGATACACCATCTTTTTGAATGCATGAAGGTTAAACTTTGCCAAATTTCTTATATATTTTTTATCAATTGAGCAAAAGGTTTCACTGCTTATTAGTAAGGCATAGATAAATAAATTCTGGCATAAAAGTCACAGAATTGTCTATCTGGCACCAATCAGTCCATTGATATCATAAGCATAAAACCAACAAATGCTTAAGTTTTCTCTTTTTTGAAAAGATAATTTTAGCCAAAGACAAATAAGCTTTGTTTTAGCTACAAACATTTGCTTAGAAGTCACTACTTGTTGGAATTAACAACAGCAAGATATTTTCACTATATTTCATTACAGCCAGACATGTGTTCATGGCACATCATGCTCAAAGCTCAACAATAGTTAAGAGTAACAAGATAATAAATGGATATGGATTGTGTATAGTTTTTAAGTAAGCAACAAGATTAAACTTTAGAAAAAAGGACATGTAGACAGAAACATCTTTTCTTTCAAATGTATGTTTTCTTCTAAAAACACAAAAAGTCAGTTAATAATTTTTTTAAACGTTTGTTCCTTTTTTATTCTATTTAGAGAAAAAAAAGATGAGATACCAAAAGATAGTTTAACGAGTTGATCTGTAAAACCACACCATAAAATAATACCGAGAGCTTGGTAAAAAGACAATAAGTAAGTTTTTATCAGGAGTTACCATTCATAGCTGGTAAAGTTTACAGATAGGAATTCATGAATTTAACTAAGCGATCAAGAGCCAACTTGCAGGAAGGCTCATGGTAATTTGGCGATGTGGCATTGGTGAATGCATGACCAGCATCGTAGACATAAAACTCATGTTTCACTTTAGCAGTATCCAACTTTTTGCGTAAAGCCTCCTGGTCAGAGGACGATGAGAAGCCAACAATGTCATCCTTTTTACCAAAGTGGCATTGTAAAGGGATGCGGATGGTGGTGATATCTGCAATGGACTCACCAGGGATGCCATAAAAAGGAGCAGCAGCACTTATCTCAGGAACCAGGGCTGCTGCTGCAAAAGAAAGAGCACCACCCATACAAAAGCCTGTTACTCCGATCTGCAAGTAAAGAGAAAGAACATTTAAGTAACAGCAACAATAATAATAATTGCCCTATTCTGTTGGTAATAGTAACACTAATTTCAAAATTCTGATCAGGGCTCCAAATTAATGTTGTCTCATTGTCCCAGGAACAAGAGAACAATGCATGAATAACAACATTTTTGTTTTTCAAGAGCGGTTGTTTAAGTTCCAGCTGGAGTTTTTCTTCTGGAAAGGATTTAGGATAATTTTCTTTTTAATCTGTTGAATATCTTTCTTGATGCCAAGTATTCAAATTATGTTTGAAATATTTTGTGCTCCCTTTACACTAATAAGTCTTAGGATATTTCTTCCAGTAGGCCAAGTCTAGAATTATGACTCCAGCTAGTGGCAGACTGGATCTAAAAATATTGATTGCCAAGAGACAATGGGAGCCAACCTATAAATACAATGTTATCATTTAATTTTCATAACAAATAAATAAAATTGAAAAAAAAAAATACATATGGAAAAAAAAGGTACAATTAAAAATTTTTATGGAAAAAAAAGGGTATTTCTTAGTAATTACAGTGTACATGTATATAGGCACATGGTTAGAATGTTCACTTTCTGACTATGAGACCTGGGTTCGAATCTCACTAGGGTCGATTTGTCAGGAAGGTGATTTCTTGATGTTATTAGTTTGGAGGAGGTGATCCCATTGTATGGCACCTCTGTAAAGTGTCTGAAAACCATACCATGGATTGATCCAACCCTTGTGAGTGAAATTGGGTAGATGGAACCCTTGGGATCCATCAGTGTTTGTGCTAGCACAAAGTCACAAGTCATCGTGACCAAGGGTTTGAGCCTGCTAGCTTTGTTCAGACTGTTGATCATGCTAGATAATGTACTCTCTCCACTCAGAATAGTTGCAGTATAAACCACAGGTGGGCTCTGTGGGTGTGAACGAACAGAAATATGCTTGAGCAGGCATCTGCAATTGGGATTAACTAGCTACCCTAGTAGACTGGCATCCTTGGATATGAGTGGCTGCACCATTTACATTACGTTTACAGTGTACATGTACTGATTATATTACTGGTAGTAGATACCAAATATAAATACATAACATTATAAATGAATTTTTTATTTATTTACTTTTAATTTTAAGTAATTGATTGATATTTTTAAATAGTTTATTGCACAATTTACACATTAACAGAGTTCAAAACATAATAGAGAATTCCATGCAGTCCACTATATTAATAGTAATTGTTTGTGCTCACTAGATGATTGTTTGAATCTGCCAATAATTGCTTCTGCATCCAATTCTCCAATTCATCTTAACAATTCCTTTTCAATGGATAACAACACGATTCCAAATTCACCTCAGATAGCAAATTTCTTAACCTTGTCTTTATGATCTTTAGCTTTGAAAATGGTTTCTCACATTGGACTTTAGTAACTGATAAGGTGCAAAAGACTTTATAAAGTTCTTATTCCTTTTTTATTAATAAAACAGTTGTCTGTGTTTATTTCTTTATTGCATTTTTATTTGATAAAGGGAACCCCCCTTGTCATCGGGCAAACTGTCACTCTGGCCAGTCCACCACTGACTCCAGCTATGGACAAATAGCAGAGCAAGAACTTTCCAGTTCTTTAGGCTTTTTTGATTGATTTGTTTTCTATGGCTTAACCTTTTAAAAGTTAAGTCTGAAAATACTTTTAGATTTTAAGAATTTTTTTTTTTGTGATGATAATGGTTTAGTGATACAAGTCCTACAAGTTAACACATATCTGGCAGTGGGTAGGAGAAGCATTGGATTTATACATTTCCCAAAAGTATTTGTGCATAAGTGAATATAATGAATGCAACTGGAATTGGAACTTGGCTCTCTGATGAACAATTCCAAGCCACTATCCATTACACCACTTGCACATCCAAGCTTACAGTACCTGGTATTCCCAAGTGGTCACTCATTTAGGTACTGACCAGACTTGACATTGCTTAACTTCAATGATTGTATGAGAACTGGTACTTCAACATGATGTGGGCATAACCCTAGATCTTTAGGCCATTGCCTCAATGGGAAGGATACTATAAGAAGCCTACATCTTGGAAATCTCTTACTACTGAGAAAGGGCAACATGCCTAAACAGTGGATTTGATGTGTGTGAGCTGATCTTCACTTTAACCCATATTTTTCTGGTGTCAGCTTAAAATGGTGACTTCTTTTTTCATATATCTAAATGATAATTATAAACTATAATTTTGGGAAGTGCTAATTTTACTGAAATATTTTTGAAGTTTCCAAGTTTTGATTGAAATCAAGCAAATATGAACTTTACATAAAATGGTCATAATATATAGGAAAAATAAAGTGTCAGTTTAAACTGACACCAAGAGGATATAGTTAAGTAATCAATGCAGCTAGTCTGTGAAAATGACAAAATATATACATATAGGAAGATAAGTTATGAAATCTCATATAAATATTTGAAGAACCAATAAAAGTCAGATATATATGTAAGTAAATATACTTTAAAACAAGAGATATGAAAAGCACAATATACAGTAAATAACTTCACAGAAAAAAATATAGACTCAAACAGTGACCTGAAACTACCAAATCATGTAATAATTAAACAACCAATAAAAATGGTAAAAGTAAAAAGGTACTTAGAACAATTAAGCACAAGATATCTATAGTTTAAAACTATCAGATAAAATTGTATGAATCCATGTTAATTGGTAGGAAAAAAATCAATCTTGAAGGAACTTATCTGAGAGTAACACAATGATTAATCTCATCAAGAACTCTGATTTCTGATCTTGTGCTGTTGACTCTGCACCATAAATTGACAACCCAAGTTGCAATAAAAATCAACCAAAAAATTCAGAGGAAAATAAAGAGCACAATAAATAATAATGACTGATAAAGCTTTATCTAAGAAAATAAATTATATATAAGAAATACTACTAGTGTGACAGCTTCTGAGTCTTGTGCAAGAGTCATAGTTAACAACCCAAACAAATTGGAAGTTACAGGAAAATCTTCAGCTGACTTTAGAACATCAAACTTTATCAGATATTGCAACTTCAGATTACTATTTATTTTGGTAATTAAAGAAATTTCAATGTCTGAGAAGACTACAAAATACACTTAGGGCAGTTTCTTGCTGAGAAAGAAGTTCTGCATGGAAAAAAATAGTAAAGTTGATTTTCAATATAATTAAAGTTGCAAATAAAAGTTATTTTTATTTACTAAACCAATTTTATTAGGTAATTCAATGTCATTGTTAGAATAAACTAAAATTAACTAAAATTGGAACTCCACTCTGATTAACAATTCCATTACACAACACACATTTCCAAGCTTAAAGCACCTGATATTACCAAATGGTTATCCATCTAGGTACTGACCAAGCTAAACTTTGCTTAACTTTGGTCATTGTACGGGAACTGGTGTTTCAACATGATGTGACCATAAGCCACTGTCCATTTCATAGACTAATACCACCCCATCTTACTCTGAAATTCTATGAACTATGATTGACCCCCACCACCAGATTTTCTGTATCTGTATTTTACAGTCAGTTGCAGAGACTAAATGGAGTACTTCACCTATATATAGATTTTGTTTGGATTTGTTTCTTTTTTTGCTTCGATAATCATATTCAAGTCAACTATTATAAAAATCACTGATTATCACCAATCCAAACAGTTGATACTCATGGTTGTAAAAATTAAAATCTTCTTACCTTAGAACATCCAACATCCTTGAGAAGATATTTAGCTGCTGCTTGAATATCCTTAATAGCTCCTGGCCAGTCAAGATCATTCATCAGGTGGCCAGCTTCTTCATGGTCGGTGGCCACTTTACCTCGATAAAGATCAGGAACAAGAGCTACAAATGGCCCCTTGGAAGCCAAATCGGCAGCCTCATCCTGGATCTGTTGATTCATACCCCACCATTCTTGAAGTACAATCAAACCACGTTTGGTTCGGCTAGGGTCTCCAACCAGCACACCGGGACAGGCTCCCTGTTTGTTCTCAGAGGGGAATTTAACAGTTTTACTCATTTTTTTGTTGGTTGACCTACAAAAGAGAATATATATATATATATATATACACACACACACACACACACACACACACACACACACACACACACACACACTACAGCTTAAAAGTTTGAAGCCATTCCTAAAATTAGCATGGGATGAACTTGACAGAAGAATGAAAAAAATGAAAAAGAGTTCTTAGAGCCATTGAAAAAAGAATGGAATGAATCATTAAACTTATACTTTGAGAAACGTTTGCAATGAATGCCAAAAATTTGTGCTGCAGTATTCAAGACTAAAGTAGGATATTTTGACGAGAGCAAAATTTAATCATAAAAGGCTTTTTTTTTCTCTTTCATAATAAAATTTCTAATAAAATTCATCTCACTTTTTTTGACCATGTATAATAATTTTCTCTTATTTAAAGTACAAAACAACTAATTTTTTGGCCACTTTAGAAAAATAACCAGAGGTTGCCTCACACTTTTAAACTGTAGTGTACATATGTATCACAACAGAAATTGGGTTTCATAAAAAAAACAAAAAACTGTCAATTAGAGTATTTTTGAAAGATAGTTTTTAAAGCAAGCAGTTTATGTAATTATAGTGCTCAGTATCAAGAGACAGAGCATTAACAGTAATAAATAAGTTTCATTGAGATTATATACATTCTTCAGGTGACTTGACTGTAAGTCACCTGAAGTAAGATGTGGGAAAAGTGAGTAAGAGCAACTTCACATCTTTCCAGAGTAGTGAGTAATTCTTATGCATGTCTTCATTCATCCACAGCTCCTGGATTCCTCCATGCTTGAACCTCACTTGACCTGATGTGTTATTTTGAAGTTCAATTAAACTTTCTTGTAGGGGTGATATCAACTTCAGATGCATCAGCAATGAAGGGATCCACAAACCAGTGTGGCATTGTCATTTATTTGAAGTATATCTGAGAAGCAAGTTTTCATATCATTATGCAACTGCTTCAAATGATCAACATACACTGCTTGATCATCATCAAGCAACTTAGTGGATATATTTACTAAGAAAGGAAACTGTGCAAACTCCTGTCTCCTAAGGTTCAACCAGAACTGCTTTAGTTTCCTATTAAATGCGTTAATTGCCTCCTTGCAGGAAAACAGGGTGGAATCATTTCCTTGGAGCTTTTTGTTCAGGGCATTTAGCTTTTCAAAATTGAAAGACAAGTTGGTGAAAAGTGAAAACATACCTTAATTTAAACTTTAAATTATGAATCTCAAATTTTAAGAAATTGAAAACTAAAAATGGCTATTTTGCATAAATTAGATGAAAAAAATTACAATAAATAAATATTTATGTTGACAAAATGGCTTAGGTTAATTTAATATTTAACTTAATAAATTTAATATTTCATTTTAAATAATAATTATAAATTACAAAATACTCTCTACATATATTTTGTGGGTCCTAAATTTTCTGTGACCCCTCATGGGCCCCCATTTTTCAAACTTGGCTCTGTGGACACTGAAAATATCTCATGGCCTCCCAAGGGGGACATATGGTCCATGTTGAGAAATCTTGCTGATAACTGATTGAGTTACTGAGACAAATTTATGCTTAATAAATAACGATATGACATACAAGAACATTGACAAATATTCACTATAAACAACATAATTTTAAATATAAATTTATCCCCAAATTAAATTAGAAGAGTACCCTATTTCATACTGTTTTTTTTATTTGAAACTAAGAAGTTTCTTCTTTTTATTTAAAAATTAAATTGCACCAGCATGATTATATAACCTTTTTTTATTTTATTTAGGAAGGATAAAATTCAGTTTAATGAAATGACAGACTTTTTTGTATGAAGGAAGATGCATTTTTTTGTTTGCTTTATTTTCAGAAATTGATACTACTTATGCTACCTGTCCACTCATAAAAAAATAGGACATTTTTTTTTAGGAGGGGAGGATTTTTGTTAATTAGCATTCTTTAAATCTTACTTAAGACATGATAATTGTCAAAATTGAAAAATATTGATTTGTTATTGATTGAGATGGTGGGTCCTGTTTATAATATTGATAATGTAAAATCAATCCCTGGCTTTTACAGAGTTATTGGGCTTATATATTTTGGGTGTTAAAACTGTTTCTCTTGGTTTTAAACAACGAACAAAAGGATATAGACATTTTTAAATTAAAGGACAAAAAATTACGTAGATTAATAAAATTATTTGTCCGTTTATTCTTAATTTAAGACAAATAATTATGAACCTCAAATACTTGTTCATGTGCTTCTGAAAAAAAAGTTAAAAAAAAAAAAAATAAAATAAAAAATAAATTTGCAGATATCTATGCTGTTAGCACATTTTCAACCTCAACATTTGTAAAGATATTTATCCATCACAACAATGTGACACAAGGTCGGAATTTTGTAGCAAGTCCCAATAAAATAAAATAAAATCTAAAAATAATATATATGTATAAACAAAAAAAAAAGAAACAATCCAAATTTAATAAGGCATTTGTGCTTTCCTTTGAAACCTTCACCTCTTCTTTCTCACTCTGTATATGTCTCTCTCAACTAACGAGAAGGCAACCCTCAAATAAAAAGATGAAGAGGAAGAAGAAAAGACTGAACATGTCTAAAAAATGCTGGAAGTTTGTGGGACCAGTGTGTACTTATTTATGACTATATAAATCTGCCAAAATAAGACATGCTCCATGCATAATTTCCTCTATATAAAAAAAAATGAAAGAGAAAAGAATGCCAGAAAATAAAATAATTTTGGCCAATCAAGAAAATGAATACAAAGAAACTTTTGATGTTAGCCAAAACCAAGGTTTATGCCAGAGTCTGAGAGCCTGATTAAAAGGATATAAGCTGACAGATCTGAATGAGATGAAGGAGTGACCTCATGAGAAACCACAGAACAAGAGATGCGTCTGCTAGAGAAACCAGTTATGCGTGAGATAGTCAAAAGGTCATCTGGTAATGATATTTCTACCCTTCTTAGGGCTGAGAAAAACACAATAGATTAACGCTGACCTATTTCTAAGATGATTACTATCATGTTTTGATTTCCTGTCGAATACAAAATTGAAACGGACATTCTCTTGACTACTACCAAGATTCATTCTAAATCAAATTTTATACCCTTTCACCACAGTTTGTTTTATTCCAAAGTTTCTGGTGAATAAACTTTAAGAATGTCCTGGCAACTTTCCACAGTTTAATGTGGGATTACTAGAAGGGTGTACAAAAATTGCTCAAATACTTCCCCATTTGTAGGAGAGATACCCGAGAGGTTGCCTCAACCCCCAGGGCTTGAGCTGATAATATTTATTTTCAACTTCACTGAAATTTTGTAAATAATTTAAGTGACTTAGTCTGAGGCCAATAACTATTCAAACTTAGGGATCGATTTGACACGGTATATTGATGAACAAGACACTTTTTCTAAAAGAATTTCAATCCTGACAAGTGTTGCGACCTAAAGTAAGCTAATCTACAAGAATGTATTTTCTAAAAATCAAACAAAAAGAAAACATTTTTCCTATATTTCATTAAAAATTCTTTAAGCAAGTAAATTGTTCTCAAGGAGTTAACACTCACATAAGATTTCATCAGAGCTCCTGTTGAGAGGGAAACAATTAGAAGATCTGTAGTTTGTAGTAGAGTGATGACAGAAATTTCAAGCTCTGATGAAGCAGATCTCAATTACTGTATTTGATGGCATATAAAGTGCACTTCTTTTTTTTAAACTAAAAATATCTTTTAAAATTCCACTCTGTCTTATATGCTATATGTAGGTTTAAAATTTGTGATAGCTGAAATTAGGTATCTGGCAACTCTTATTAGCTTAGACTTAAACATGAAGAAGCAATGGAACATGTGGATGGTAATGGTTGATCACGACTTTACACTTAAAGGAAGAATAAAAAGACCTTGCATTGCACAAGTTTGTGAATGGGTGAAGCAAGCTTGGGATAATATTAGACCAGAAATTGTTGTGAAACCTTTTAAAAAGTGTAGCATTAGCAATGCTCTCATTGGAAAAAGGAGAAGACACATTATTTAATGACAATGATAGTAGTAGTGAAAATGAGTATCAGAGTTTTGATATTGAAGATTGCAAATTTTATAGATTTGAAGATGAATAAAATTTTAATGGTAACTACTGTTTTGCTCAATTGTAATAATTGATTTTTATTTTGTTTTCTTATTTTTGGATATAATAAAGTTTTTATAGGCTTGTGTTCTTTTTTTTCTATCATTTTTCTTTTAATTGTAATCATGGCTTGTTTAATCAAAATAATACCTCATAAATATAGCCTACGCTGTATCATTTACTAATAATTTTACTAATTACTAATTTTTTCTTGATTTTCCCTGCTGAAATTGGGGTGCGTCTTATATGCTGCCACGATAGTTTTCAGTAGAGGGCTGACATTCTGTCATTAGAGCACAGCATGTAGATTTCTTCCATGAAACAGGTTCTGAAGATGACTGGTGTTACTATCGCTGACCTGATGTTATCACAGATGATGTCAAATACTCAAAGAGGCACATATTCTCTGAATTTATTGAGATTAGAAGAAAAGTACTGGGAACTTTTCCCTCCAAAATTGCTATACACTTTCCCCAGCCCTCTCAGAAAACATATTCTTATCTCTGATAAGAATCAAAGTTTTAGGAGTTGGCTTTGGAAGCAAGGATCTGACATTGTGAGTGTTTCAAATTCCTTTTTATAATTTCCAGCCCTCTCGTTAGTCAGAAAATATATTCTTATGTCAGATAAGATCAAGGCTTTGGGAGCCGATTTTGGAAGCAGGGCTGAAATTCAGGGCAAAGATTAGAAAAGAGGCTAGAACTTGTAAAATATTGTAGTAGCAGTTCTCAAATTAAATTCTAATAAAAGGCTC